GTGTTTTCTGAATTTCAGAAGAGACTGAAAAGTAGAAGTAGTGGAATAAAAGAAAAAGGAGAGCACGTTGTAATGTCGTCCATTGATGGCTGAAGAGTTTCAGGTGTGTCAGAATCACAGCAGAGCAGAGCAGAGCAGCACAGGACTCACCAGCTGCAGCCAATCCTGCAATCTGCCTCCTCAACACCTCCTCACTCCTGGATCAATAGTGATCAGATACTAAACAGCTTATGCTCTCTGCTATTTCCAGACTATCAGTTTGTCCGATTATAAATGTTGTTCTGTTGTTTTTGTTCATTCTGGTCTATTCTGTTCTTTTTTGATTGATTTCCTCTTGGAATCACGTTGCTCTTTTGTTCTGTACAAGGCCTAACTGTTGCTGACCTGAGGTCATCTGCCTTAATCTGAGTAACACTCCAACAGTTTAATGATGTCTAAGATCAGCTGGTCCAACATCTTCCTTAAATTTATTCCGACATACAGCCTTAAAGCAAATTTTGCATAGGGACTAGTTGGAGAGCAGAGTGGACAAATACACGTCATGCAGCGCTGTCCGCTTTGTTAACATCCGCCAGTTGTACGCCATACATTGGACTGATAAAAAAAAAAAAAAACTTTGTTTATTTAAACCTGCAAAATGGGTTTGTCTTCACCTCCAAGGACAAAACTCATCGAAAGACTTTGTATTTAAATGATAAAGTTGATTGAACCACTTTATAAATAGTACTTCTACTGTTATATTTACAGAATCTTTTAAAGGATTGTGTAAATATTCATGGCTAAAAAAACTTCTTTTTTTTTAAATCTACCTTTCAGGATAGTTTAGTTTCATGTTGTTGCCAACAAGGATAGAGGTTGATGTTTGGAATTCACTGGAAATGATGGAACTTCTATGATTTGTTTAACTTAACTAAACCAACTAAAGGGCAGAGAAAAATAGAGATAACATTCCTCTTACTCCTCTTTTACAATCATTAAGACAATCAATTATAAACCGTGATTTAAATTAAAATATGTTTACATTTTCTGCGTCGTTGTGCGCATTCATGGAAGGAACAGAACAAGTACATAAATATCATTTATCATTTATCAAGCTGCATCAGCAGCAGCAACATGCATGCACGTGCAGAGACACACACCCAGACACACACTTTTGAACCAACACACTCACACAGTCATGTGCATGCACAGCATGATAGGAATCACGGCGCAGGTAGTTTAAATCTGACACCCGCATAAATGAATATGAAGGGATGAAATAGGATTAGCCTCTTTGCTATTGATTAGCTGGCGGTGTGATAATTAAAGCGGGCCGAGCCGCAGGGCTACTGCAGTGTAGGGTGTGTGTGTGTGTGTGAGAGTATATATAAGTGTGAGGGTGTGATGAATGCTGTGGTCCCCAAACTCAAGATTGTTCCACTCAGCACAATTACAACAACCAGCTCTACTCCTGCCAGCACCACTACAGAGCAAGCAGTGCCTGGTCATGCAAGACAGGGTTTACTGTGTGTGTGTGTGGGGGGGGGGGGAAGGGGTTAGTGTGTGTGAGAGGCAGAGAGAGAGAGACGGAGTCAGACAGAAAATCAGAGGTGAAAGAACATGTCTTGAAAATCACAAAATGAAAAAAAGTCATAATTCACAAGTCATTTTAATTAAAATTATATGTCACTGACATTTTTTTTCAATAAACCCTAAAGTATAAACTGACAACAAACATGGTACGTGATGTTAAATCCCTGGATTGTGTTCAGGGCCATGTATGATATCATGAGACAAACAAATGTAGTCTAAAGGTTCATGTGCCAAAACAAGCAGTACAACCATAGAACAGTCTTCCAGAGAACATTCCATAGTTTGGTTCCATAGTGTAGCGGTTAGCACGGCCGCCTCAGAAGCAGAGACCAGAGAGACCTGGGTTTGTTTACCAGTGGAACCACAAACTTAGAAGCCAATTTCCCAAATATGGGCTCAATAAAGTTCAAATTATTATTATTATTTGATGATGTACTTTTGTGTTTTCTTGTGAGTGTGATGGTGGCAAACCAATTGGCGTTAAACAGTGGTAATGATCATGACTTTCTGTTTTTGTTGTTTGTGGCCCGAGTGCTATAGAAGTCTAGAAGAATCTACTGTAGCAGTAGCACAACACCTCGATCTCCAGACGTGACCCTTCGTCTTCAATAGAAGACAATCACTGAGACGGCAACAGAGATTTTCAAAGACACACCAATGTACTGCACTCTACGCTCTAAAGTGTTGGAGGAGAACCGCCTCTCTGCTTCCACACTAACAGAACAAGAGAGCAGAGCCAGAGGTTGGTGGGGCAGATAACATTCACGTATATTGTACAAACTGAATAAAGTCATTGAAATGTACCAAGGGATTGGATTCTTCCATTCTTTCTTTTTGTCTGTATTTTCAGTCTCAGTTAAAGGTGTCTCCTCAGTCTGGTGGCTCTGATCAATGTCCACTCTGTAGGCTGAGGGTGTGTGTGTGTGTGAGAGAGAGAGAGAGAGAGAGAGTTCATCCTGGGGTTTCTTCATTAAAAATCTGCCTGACTAAAACTTTACACTGAACGACGACAAAGCCAGGCTGAGACCCTACGTTCAGATTGCTCGCTCTTTTTTTTTTTTTTTTTTACGCCAACAATCTGGTTTGCTGCTGTTTGCAGCAGAGGACCTGGAGCTCCAGTGAGTGTTCGGCCGAGCGTCTGGTGGCAAGAGTCTGCTGAGACTTGGGGGAGGTTAGGGAGAGTCCCACCCCTCGTGGTGCTCAGCGGACACGAACAGGAAAAGGGGAGGTGAAGGTGAAGTGAAGGGGAGAGCATTAAAGAGGTGATGGTGTTAACGGAGGCATGGGTGACACGATGGGAAAACTGATCCAGTCAGTGATGCAAAAACCAACTTTGAATGAAAATCATTTTTGGGTTTGGAAATTGGAGCGTATCAGTACATCCCATAATTGCGAGAGATATAAAAGTTATATTTCGGTCTGAATAAAGCAGCAAACAACGTCAGACGCGTGTTGTTGTTGTTTTTCTTCCCACTCTTAATCTTTCTGAAAGTGCAACAATTTTGGCTAATTATCTTTACTTCCTTCTCCACTCAATATTCTCCTACGTTTGTCACCAAAATCAATGTTAAGCACAATAATGCTAACCCATGCTTTACAGTGTGTGTGTGTGTGTGTGTGTGTGTGTGTGTGTGTGTGTGTGTGTGATAGAGCAGCCTCTCTCCCATCTGACTAACAGCCTTTTAATACTAAAGAAAAGAGAAAAAACATCATTGGCTTATTGCAGGGAAGACCCACATCTCAACTGTAGTTGGTTGTTGATGGGCCTCTTATGGTACAGCGTAGTGGGCCCTCTAGTGCCCGTCCGGTAGAAGTACTTTGAATGCTGTTTATAGTTGACAAAATATGTGCAACAATCAGGCCCATGAGGTGTGGTCATCTTATAATGATTTTTTTTTTTTACTCTTGTTGCTACCAAAATAATGACTCGGGTTTTTTTTTTCATAGATTATGACTCACGCTCACAGATGGATACTAGTTCTGGAGCCTTTATAACACAAAAAGACTAGCTATTAATTCTGCAGAAAAACAAAAACGTGATTACTGGGACCTGGAGCTGTTAGTGCTGAGAACAGCCTTTCCTCACACACATTGATTTCCGGCCCTGTTCACTTCTTGCTTCCTTCCGTACGTTCTTTCTCCTTCTCTCTGTCTCTGTTTTGGCCCGATCAGCACACACTGCTCCAGATTGAATCATCTGAATATCATCATACTGCCCATGATGAATGCTAACTAGACAGCGGCTCTGGTTTTGATTAATGAAGATACTGTGCTGGTTCACACCCGTAGACCTGGCGCCCTACAGCCCACACCACAGATAACTATTCACTGTGTATTAATCATGGTTAACCAGGCAGCACTTTCTTACAGCACGAATTGAAGTCCACTCAAAGCTACTTACAGACACAACGGGATCATACACACACAAATACAATCTCACATACAACCATATAAACTGTGATGTCATACATCCACGTAGCAATTAAACCACATCATTGATTTTTCCACACTTACTCTGATATTGTATTGTGGGAAAGTCCTCCTCACTCTGAAGCTCTATTTATTCGTCCATGGTGTTTTTATATATTCACTCACACATTTCTAAGCCAGCAGTATCGTGACTTAGAAATTCTAGTTAAAGTTATGAGATTCCTAAAAAAATACCAAAAAATAAATAAACTGAATGAATGTTTTTACATTTAAACAACAAAGAAAAAATGCGATGGGATTCGTCTGGTATTATTGTTGTCTATTAAGATAAAGAAAATAAATGAATAGAAAAGGAAAAATCAAAAGAAAAGAATGGAAAAATAGAAAAGAAAAGAGAGTGTGAGGATGGTCAGTCCTCCTTCTCCTCCTGCCTGTGTCTGTTAATCAGTGTCATCACGTTCACCTGTGTCTCTGTCATTAGTCTCACCAGGTGTCACAGAGTGTCACCTCTCCCTCATCCTGTCTTTGTTGGGTCGTTGGTTGATGTTGTTCATGTGTGTTGTTGGTCCTGGTTGATGCCAGTTCATGCTGTGTCTCTGTTCTGTTATCCAGTTAGTTTCTGTGGTTTTGAGTTTGTATTAAACCACTTGAGTCCTGTCTGTTTCCTTGTTCAGGTCAGAATGCAACAGAGTTAACCCAAAGATTTTTTTATTTTATTTTTTTTGTAGTTTAGTTGCAGTAGTGCTTTTTAAAATAAGTTTTAAAAACACCTCTAAGACATGAGGAGTGGCATGTCTTTTGAACAGGGTGACTGGTCCAACATGCTCAGGCAGTTTAGTTGGTACCATACAGCTCTGCTATTCTTATAACTTCACAATTGTCTATTGAGAAATGACATAAGAAATATGCTGTTCTTCTTACTTTATAATCACGTGACAGGAAATACTTTACATATTATAAAAATACATCTACTGTGCTTTTTAGCTGACATGAGTGTAGCTGTGCTGTACTTCAATTCCATAGTGTACTGGTTATCACGCCTGCTTACACACAGAAGGTCCTGGGTTTGAGCCCCAGAGGAATGACATATTTGCGCCTCCTGTTGGCCAGCCTGTGGCAGCAGATCTGCTGTGGACACCACAATTTCTCCAGTGTGGTATTAATAAAGTTTTTTTTTTTTTTAACAAATGGCCAAAAACAAATATCTCTTTACCCTGCTTTCACCTGATAAATGCTGAGACTGATAGAAGTGATGGATGAATTAATGAATAAAGAAAGACAAAGCTTTTTTTTACATAAGAGCATCATCAAAGATTGATTTAAATATATATTTTTTGTAGTTGTCTTTTAAGGCAAGTTCATTTAATAACAACTATCCCTTTAAGAAGTCATAAGGAGTGCCACTGCATGTAAACAGGGTGACCGGTCAAACATGCTTTGTGTGTTCTCAGCAGTGCAGGGAAGAAGACCAGCAGCCATGGCATCGGCTTCTTACACAGAAGAACTAACTTGTTCCATTTGCCTGATGATATTCACTGATCCAGTTATCCTCACATGTGGCCACTCTTTCTGCAGGAAATGCATCGAAGGCTCCCTGACTACACAGCGTAAGTGTCCACAGTGTCGGACAGAAGTTCCTGAAGACGGGACAGGTCTGCTGACCAGTCTAATTTTGAAAAATCTTTCTGAAAAAGAAGCAGTGAGACTGCAAAAAGACGAAGAAGTAAGTCTGTCACTTTTGTCTTTCCATTATCCTTTTTTTAAATTATTTTATTTTATTTTGTAAGCCATTGAAAACAGCACTCCATTATTATTCTACAGGTTGACTTTCAGCTGTGTCCTGAACATGAGGAAAAGCTGAAACTCTTCTGCGTCACAGATCAGCAGCTGGCTTGTATCATATGCAGAGACGGAGACAAACATGATGGTCACAAGTTTAAGCCAATCAAAGAAGCGGCTGCTCTCGTCAGAGAGGAGGCTGAGGCGTTTGGTAAGCAGGTCTCTCATGACGTTGCCGCGGCAGAGGCGCTGTTCAACACACAGCGTGAAGTAATAACAAAGGCCGAGGAGAAGTCACAGCAGCTGATGACAAAGATCACTGCACAGTTCCAGGAGATGCACAAGTTTCTGAGAAAGAGAGAACGAGAGCTCACGAGTGTTCTCAAACAGAGGGAGGAGGACGCTGTCCAGAAAATGACCAAAGCATCAACCGCTCTCGAAACAGCTTTGACAGAGCGCAAGAAGCAAGAGCAGAAAGTGACATCTCTTCTGAAGATCACCGACCCCGAGAAGTTCTTGAGGTGCTGCAAAGAGAACGGCGGTGTGATGTCTTCTAAAAATGCGTCCAGGTCCAGAGCTCAGGACCTCTCAGTAGTCCACATCTGCCCCTCGCTGGGGCCGTATGAAAATCAACTTCAGTTTTATGTGTGGAAGGAGATGCTTCAGATCATTCAGCCCCACGAAGAACTGCAGCCAATCAAAAGTGACAATGGCAAGAATGGCAACACACCTGTGCGTAACTAAGGGAGGACTTTGATGGAATAACAAACTATCCAAGTCATAAGTGCACACCTTGTTCCAGCTGTCAGAATAGATATGGACGATCCTTTATCTCAAATGGTTGTAGTAAAAACACCTCATAATGTGCTAATGTATGGAGCATCAATGATTTCACCTGACAGCAGCATTACTGGGAAATACAGGGAAGTGGGATTACTGAAAGTCTTTTTCTTTTCTTTAAATACAAGTTCAATAAGCGAGAAGATCGTAACCCACGGAGAGTGTGTCAGCTGTGAGGTCTCTTGAGATGCTGCCTCGCTTCCAAGGCAGAGAAGCTTGTGGTCACTCACTTACCCAGACCTCTAACCAATACAAATGTCCATCTATTGGAGATTTAGAAAAGCAAGAGGAAACACAAATCTAGATCAAGCATGGGCAAACTACGGCCCGGGGCCCACATTTGACCTGTTTTTTTAATTTTTAGTTTTTTTTAACCTGGCTTTTTAATCCAATGAACTTGTCCATATTATATTAATAAATTAAGCTGTCATGAGAATTCTGTCGTTTTGCCTTAAATTAAGCTGTCATGAGAATTCTGTCATTTTGGATTTTCCTGCAGTGTCCGCATTTCATCAATAGATGGTGCGCTCCAAGGGTAAAGTGTAAATACTCTGTACTGCACTTTTCCGATGTGCCCTTTGAACTTCCAGTCATTTGGTAAAAACTCAGCGGGTCAAAGAAAAAAAACGTGGACAGTGATTGGCGAGTATTTAATAAAGAGTGGACAATAAAATGTTTTCACTGAAGTCCGATCAACAACTGTTTGTCTGATATGCCAAGAAACTGTTGCCCATCCATCCATCCATCCATTTTCATCCACTTATCCATTACCGGGTCGCGGGGGCAGCAGTCTCCATGACCGCCACCCAAATCACACTGCACCAACCCCCCTGAACCTGGACCTGAGTCCACTGGAAGGTACCAACCGCGCTATCTGAGAGTCGACCCTGCCCAGGAGGTGAACCCTGGGGTTCCACACCAATGACAGAGACATTGCCTCTGGGCCAAAGCGCCATAATAACTGTTGCAGTTTTCAAAAATAAACAATATCACCCTTCACTTCTTCACGAAGCATGCCAACTATGCTAGCCAGCAGTTAACGCAAGAACAGGTGGCTTCTGCTTAGTGGTTGATGGCTAATTTACAGTCAAACTACTCCAGAGTCGAGTACTAAGGCAAGTTTTATCTTGGCAATAAATTTAGCAAAATCTAGCAAACCTCTCTCCAAAGGAGAGAGATTGGAGTGTCAAGAACAAAGACTTTCAAAGAAGTTTGGAAATAAATACTTAGATGATACATAATGCCTAGTATTGGTAAGAAGCAAAATGTGTGTATGCATGAGACATTGATTATATTATATTTTTATTTGTTACTAAATATGGGAAAATAAAGAAGTATTCAGTGGGGGGAGAATTCCTTTTTGTTTGTTTGTGCGTTTTGCGTGAAATGACTAGGTCAAAACGTTCAGATGGGGATAATCCAGTGGTGAAAGTAAATAATTATAATATAATAATAGATAATCATTTTGTAGCCAAGTAACAGATTTTTTTTTCCAATAGCAGTTTTAGAACTACACCACTAGAGTGTGATAGTACTCTTTACTCTGCAATATCCATTGCACCGACAACGCCTCTTGTCTTAAAAATACATTATAAGAAACACATCCGTACTGTATAGAAAACCGGGGGGGACTCAATGCCCACAAATTTTGATATCATTTAAGATATATTAAGGGCACTATGATTGGGACAGATTTTAGCTAATGTTTAGTTATTTTGGTTAGTTGCTTGGCATTGGTCTACATTTTGGCAAGCTCTTACTATAGCTGTGAGCTTCAACCAAAAGTTTCTCTTAGAAATAGCTCTAACACAGGGGGCACCAACGATCTTAGGTAGCCCCCATCGACTCCCTAAGTTGCCAGTGTTCTAAAAATGAAACTAGTCAACAACAGGGTCAAAAGCTGTACTGCTACTGTTTCTTTTGGATCAGTAACACTTGATAGTCAAATTGGTGCTATTGTAGGTCCCCGAACTTGATGGAACAGCATTAGTTCTCTTTTTAATTATTATTATGTGTTTTTTTGGGGGGGGGAACCTGTATCAAACAAGTAGCTCTTCATATTACTAAGTACCCTTGAAGTAGCTTGCATTTTCAAAATTACTAAGTACCCTTGAAGTAGCTCGCATTTTCAAGTTGGTGACAGCTAATCTAACACACTATGATGAAGGTCAGTCTGGGTTTTTCTGGCTTATCATCTAGTATCAAGAACATGAACTGTGACTTTAAGAAATCATAGGGAGTGGCTTTTTGTTTTGTTTTTTTAGAACATGCTCAGTCAGTGTGTTTGGCAGAGAACAAGGAAAAGCAACGACGGCAGCCATGGCATCCGCTTGTTATGCAGATGAACTAACTTGTTCTATCTGTCTGGCAATATTCAGTGATCCTGTAATGCTCCTGTGTGGTCATTCCTTCTGCAGGAAATGCATTGAAGACTCCCTAACTTCAAAGCGTCTCTGTCCACAGTGCCGGGCAGACGTTCCCACAGAAGGGGCCTGCTTTTTGACTAACCACATTTTGAAAAGTCTTGCCGAAAAAGAAGCAGAGAAACTCAAAAATGGCCCAAGAAGTGACAGAGAAGTAAGTTGGAGACTTTTGCAGTTACTGATCACTGAAGTGAGTCATTTGGAAGCAGGTTGTTCACACATTTAGTAAATAAATATCTTGATCATGTGCTTTACAGGTTGATGCGCAACTGTGTCCCGAACACGAAGAGAAACTCAAACTGTTCTGTATCACAGATCAGCAGCTGGCTTGTATCATATGCAGAGACGGAGACAAACATGATGGTCACAAATTTAAACCAATCAAAGAAGCAGCTGTTCTTGTGAGGGAGGAATTAGAAGTATTGAAGCAACAATTATCCATCGACACTACTGCACTTGAGTATTCTGTAAAAGCCCAGGCTGGAGAGATAACAAAGACCAAGACAACATCAAAACAGCTGATGGCACAGATCTCCAAACAGTTCCAGGAGATGCAAGAGTTTCTGAGAAAAAAGGAAATGAAGATCAAGTGTGATCTCACACAGGAGGAGGAAGATGCCGTCCAGAAAATGACCAAAGCATTAACCGTATTAGAAACAGCTTTAAAAGAGAGCAAGGAGCAAGAAGAGAAAGTGGAAGCTGTTCTTAAGATCACTGACTCTGAAAAGTTCCTAAAAAGCTGGACTGAGAATGAAAGCAAGAAGAGACCTGAAGTCCAGGACGTTGAAGTGGTGAAAAGCTGCCTCACACTGGGTCCATATGAAAGTCACTTGCAGTTCTTTGTGTGGAAGGAGATGCTTCAGATCATTGAGCCCCGTGAAGAGCGGATGTCAATCACGAGCAATTGCCCTAATGTACATGTGTCTACTGATGGCAGAGATATAATGTATGCTCCTCAAATCAGCAAAGGTTACAACTGTACTCCTTGTCAACAATGTCAGAATCAGAGAATGTTTTCATTTCAATTCATTTCATCTCATCCATGCAGTGAGAATACCTCAGTACGCTGTGTTTCTGCATTCAGCTGCGATGAATTCACTTCAGGGCAGCATTACTGGGAAATAGAGGTTGGAAAGAGGGATTACTGGGCAGTAGGAATACAAAACCACTTCCTGAAGTTTGATCAACAGAAATGTGTGACATCTAGTACCCAAACAGAGATAACCTTGAAAGAAAATCTGCAAAAGATTGGTGTTTACTTTGACTGCACCTCGGCAGACCTTTCATTCTATGATGCAGAAAACATGAGTCTCATACACGTCATACCCAAATGTGAGATGTCAGCGCCAGTAAAGGCATTTTTTGAATACAGGTTCAGTAGGGGAGCAGATCATAACCCACCCAGAGTGTGTTGGTTGTGAGGTCAGAGGAAAAGGGTGAAGGGGAATCTTGGCCTGGTGGAGAGCTCTTGTTTCACTTTATAAAACAAACATTTTGAACATCTTTTGAGTCCATATTGAATAGAAGGTCCATCGGGATGCTGTACATGTTTGTGAATTGCGCTGCAAAGAAGAATATAGGTTTTAGATCTACTGTTTAAATGTATGTCATGGAAAAGAGCCAGAAAAATGTGGTGGAAATGTAATCTGCATGTGATACAACAATGAACAGTTTGAACTATAGCACCTAAGGCATGCATACTGCATATTAAAGTTGTGTTAAAATTCTATGTAACAGCTATATCCATACCTTTGATTTTGAGAGTGAGAATGTAAAGGAATTGCTATCAAAATTAGCTGCTTGCTGTTTGTTTCTAGATGTAACCTCTGCTTCTTTTCAATAAATCATTACCTGCTGCACTAATTTGTCACTTGTATGGAACATTTTAACATTTAAGAAGAAAGAAAACTCTAATGCTGAAGTAAATTAGCATTCTTCTTGCCATGTAGAAAATTCTTACAGTTTCAGTCTTTAAGTGATAATGGTCATTAATAGAGTAATTTCTGTTAAAATGTTCAACTTAGCCAACTTAGCTTAGTGCCCACAGCCACGTATCAAAGAGGCTAACTGTGCCGTGTGTCGTATTTATGTGCTTTCGGTTTCAGTTCAACAACCTAACAAGATTAAAACGTAATTTCATCGTAGAACCGCTAGAGTGAGACAGAACTCAGTGTGTCGTAGAACATCATCGTATCATGTAGTACACTATGCATATATGTATGTATGTATATGTGTGTGTGTGGGTGTGTTACAACTTCAGTGAACAGATCCACTGGTCTCTGAACTCCTCTTATTTTATACTTCCAAAACAACTGTTTTTTTGTTTGTTTGTTTGTTTGTTTTGTTTTTTTGAAATATTCCATTTGAGAAAGAACCCCAAGACAACAGCAGATCCTTATTTTAAATGTTTTCTACCTCTTCTGTGCTTTTTTTATCCTCAGTATTATTTGTAGTCTTTTATTCTTATTTCAGTCGTGTGTAGCATATATAACAATTAGTGACAGATTAACCTGTAGTTCTTCAAAATGTTACCAAACAGATCTTACTGTACTCATACTGTACAGAACAGGACTAGTACAGTAACCCTGGTAGAGTTTACATAGATTTTTCTTCAATTCTCCTTGCTTGTTAAGTGTTTACCTGTTACCGATCGCTCCATCTCGCGCACTAAACATAATAAGAGCATCTCATGTTGTTCAACTGGTTTAGTGGGATGTCTGAGTGCTGACTCATGCATGCGTTATATAGATGTATCCACTATAATACCAAGCTATACAGCAGTAAGATGGCTTCCTTTTCCTTGGATGACTAAAAGAATACTGTGGTAAATGTGGTAATGTGCTAATGAAACTGTACCACCATACAGAACAATGGTCAGGAGCAGGCTCTCAGACAGTGAAGCAACACCACCACACAGAAGGACAAGGCCTGTAGTTCCTCCAGAGCTGACTAAGTTGACCAGCAGGTGTGGACGGCAGCTCCGAGGACAAATAATTAACCAGGACCACGAATACCTGAAGGAAAGCTCATGCCACAGTACAAAAGAAAGATGCAGAAGGCTAACTACTGGGCCTCAAACACTGCTAATAAAACAGAGAAAATGATGACAACATTATTGTTAAGCAACAGTGAAAGCTACTGAGACTGGGTTTTATGGTTGTGCTGGACAAAGTTCGCTGTCTAAATACTGAGCTGAATTTAGGTGGTTCTTTGCCCACAGTATATTTATTTATTACTTTTAGGAAAGTGAAATATTGGTAAAGACCCATGCAGATATTAAGAAAAACATACAAATTGTTTCTTAAAACACAGTATTTTTACAGCCATTCTTCCTAAGATCATCATGAACAGGCTGCCTGTGAAGACGGTTGCTACCAACAAATCATACTCTACAGCCACCGTACCTGTTTTGCCACGTGAGGAATGAAAGACTTAAAGGAGGCGTGTTTATTTTCCCGTAAAATGATACAAGGTTGATGACAAGGAAGAGAGAACCCAGACACCAACCATGGCAGGCAGATCCTACTGCGAACATCTGACCTGTGGCATCTGCCTGAGCATCTTCACTGACCCAGTCACGTTGGCCTGTGGTCACTCTTTCTGCAGACTGTGCATTACTGATGAGAGGAACAGCAAGAACAGTTGCCCTCAGTGTCGGACACCTGTTGTAGTGAAAGGAGCGCTTCTTCCCACCAGTCACATACTGAAGAGCCTGGCTGACAAGGCAAAGGACAGACAGAGGATGGAAAATGAGACGGCAGGAAATGCTAAAGGAGAGGTGTGTTTGTTTTGTTTGTTCACAAAAGTTTTTTTTCTTTTATTTTTGCTGTTATTTCTTAAATTTGAATCAACAAACGTCCACAGTAATGCCCTGAGTAATATTTTTACACTGATGTTAGAATTCCAATTTTCCAGGTGTTGTTTATATATATGTATATGTATATATATATATATATATATACATATACATATATATATATGTGTGTGTGTATGTATCCATTTCATGCAGGTATATCTGTATTTCCTCCTCCAGTTTTGTTAGTCAGAGACAGCTTAAAAATGTTGCTGTACAGGTTGGATAATTCAGAGCCAGGAACTTTCCGTAAAGAGGCCCTTGGTTTGAGTTTCCCGACATGCAGCACCAGTGCAAGACAGACACAGAGCAAGAAATTATTTTTATTGACTTATTTTATTTTAGGTCTTATATTGCATTTGTCAAAACAAAATGAATAAACATTTTTATCTTAAACTGTGATAAAAGAGGGCCACTGATAACTTGATGATGATTACTAACATTATTGTCATATTTTAGTCAGTAGAAAAAAACTCTTCTGTCTGGTATAAAGTCCTTTCAGTTCTTTTGGTCTGTGACTTATTCATAATATTTATTTTTAAATAATAGATGCACATTTAAAGTTGGGGTTATTAAATATTAACATTTATATTGCCAATAAGAGTTTAAATCTAATATTATACAGTAGGTCAAAAGCCTGAGGTTGAGCCTGAACGATCCAAATTTTTTTTATCCCATTTTATTTGTGTGTTTGTCCCCAAAGTGTCTGCCCAGAAAAAATCAGACCCTCATATAATTATAGTTGGTGACCTCTGACCTATATGATGGTGGTTGCAATCACTAGTTGCATTAAAAAAGAAGATTTCCCCAAGCATGATGACACGTTTCTGGGCCATAAAAGTCTGATTTTGTCTGAAAAAGTTGTTCTTTTTTTGTTGTTTTTGTTGTTGTTGTTGTTGTTGTTGTGATTGTTCAGTATTGTTCACCAACTTGTGTAGCTGTGTTTATTGAATTCTATCTTTCCAGGTGAAGGAGTTGTGTCCTGAACACCAAGAAGAGCTGACACTGTTCTGCGTCACAGACCAGCAGTTGGCTTGTATGATGTGTAGACACGGAGAGAGGCATCAAAAACACAGGTTTCAGAGAATTGACAAGGCAGATGTGGCACTCAGGGAGAAGTTAGAGAATCTGCTGCAGCAAGTTTCAAACGACGTCAACGCCACTGAGAGGCGCCACACTGCACAGAGGGAAGAGATAACAAAAGCCATACAGAAGTCGGAGCAGCTCACCAACCAGATCCACAGACAGTTTGAGGAGATGCATGTATTTCTTAGAGAGAGAGAAGCTCAGATTCTTACTGAGCTCAAACACAGAGAGGAAGACGCTGTGCAGAAAATGAGTATGGTGCTCAGTGGACTAGAGGAAATACTGACACAAAATGCAATGCTGATGGGAAAACTGGCATCTACTTTGGAAGTCAGAGAGCCCGACAAGTTCATAAAATGCTGGACTGAGAACAACAGCACAAGCCCCAATCAGATAGTATTCCAGCCCAGGGCCAATGAATTCCAGGTAGTAAACAGTTGGCTCTCATTGGGGCCCTATGAAAGTCACCTGCAGTTCTTTGTTTGGAAAGAGATGCTTAAGGTCATCCAGCCCAGAGCAGAACTGCTGTCCTTCAGAAGAAGCAGCCCAGACATAACAGTGTCAGATGATGGTCGTAGTTTGTTCTGTACACCCAGGACTAGACCACCTCAAATGGGTCCCCGGATGGGAATCAATCCCGCTAATGGATCTGCACAAACCATGCCCAATCCTGCACAGAGCACAGCAGCACAACTTGGCCAATTAATTGGTTTTCCTTATTTTGGGTCCAGTGCAAGATTTGACCAAATTATAAACAACCCCACATTTGGCCAAGCAATATCTACACCTTCTGTTGTACCCACAGCAGGATTTGGCCAAAACAGATCCGGTCCTGTGTTCAACCCCCGAGCATTTGGTCAATTCATGCCAAACCTTCCTGGTTCCACTGCAGGATTTGGTCAAAATAGGCACAATCCACCAAATGCAGGATTTGGTCAAACCATGAACAACATTCCCTTAGGCGCTAACAGAGGTTTTGGACAACCTTTGAGTGCTAGCACGTTTCAGGCACTGAGCGTCAATGAGTTCTACTGTGGGCAGCACTACTGGGAGATAGATGTTGGCCACAGGGAGTACTGGGAGCTAGGCATCAGAGATAACTTCTTGAAGTATAATGAGCAGAAGTATTCCATCTGTAGTTCACACACAGTTACAGAGCTCATGTTTGAAGGAAAACCTAGAAAGATCGGGGTTTACCTAAACTGCCCGTCTAAGAAGATCTCCTTCTATGATGCAGACAACATGACACACATTGACACCCTGAGCACTCAAGGCATGTCCTTTCCACTCCCTGCATACTTTAATGTTAGATTCAGAACTCCAGACCCTAACCCAATGACAGTATGCTGGTACTGACGAGCTAATACCAGAAAGTTGTTTTTTTTTTCAGTGAAGGATTAGACCAGTAATGTTTTTTTAACACTGTGTACTGCCTCTTTAACTGTTTGTCTGTCCAGGTACCAGCTGTATGACCAACACTAAAATCAGTAGTGCTGACTGAAGCACAGTAATGAAAAAGAGAGTGTATTCTTTTTGTGGTAACTGGCCAATTTATCAGCCAAAGGTCCAATACACAATGTAGTAGCACGATATTCTTTAATGTACCACTAGAGAGAGCCCAAGCTCCACTATTGGTAGGTGTAGCAATTAGGGGAGCGCCTTCAATATTGTCATGGTCCCAGTACAATGGCAGTATCCTTTCTTGCTAATGTGGTTTTCTTACCATTATGGATTTGTGACAACATTTGTGACAAGTGAAAAACTTTTTTTTTTTTTTAAGAACATCGACACTTTTGCATGGGAACTTAGTCACTCATTTAACTGATAACAAAAGCACTTTGTTTAAAATTGTGGGAGCGTGAAATGAAAACATTGAGTGTTAAAAATCTGTCTGTGGTTCTTCATTAAATTCTTGTCTACTGCTCCTAATTTGCATAGTACAACTGCAGACTGTGTCCTTTCCTCTTTATTCCACTTTCCATTTCTTTTTGTTCTTTCACAATCTATTGGTTACAATTCATGTTAAAAAATGAAATAAAGTTGTTTCTGTATCATATTATTTGTTTTCTATAATCTGTAGTTTGAAACACAAAAAGGTAGTTTTCTATTTATAGCACTTTCATTTAAGGACATTAGGAATAATAATTAAAAAAAAAAACGGAATGAAATACATTTGAATAAAGCCAACTACTGTGAACATGCCCTGGATGGAATAGTGTATACACGCACAGTGGGTGTGCAGAGCTACTCCTCCCACTCCTTAGGTCTGTTTGACTTCATAAAAGAGGTGTGCACTCTTTGCCGACGTAGCACAATGCTTAAAATATAGAAGCTTGAGCTTGAGTGGAATCCAAATAATATATATTTGTATATATTTGTTATTATATTATACATATATTTATAAATTATATATATAAAAACAATTTGCTCATTGTTAGCTTTCTAAAAATAACAACAATGGCCTCAATGGCTCGAGGTGATATTTAGATGAAAACCACAAGGTAAGTTGAATTTCCTTCTTCAAAAACTAGTATTTTATGTGTGAATCAGGGTTTAAAAAATTAGCACTGTAAAAATACACAAAAATGCATTTTTAATTAATATAAAAACAAACTATATATAGCTGTGTTGTGTGCAGTAGTGTGCTGTGTCACAATGACAAATAATAATTCACTTTCACGTTGGTGACCCCTGGTCTGGGAGATAAAAACATGGTATAATATGGGAGCCATAATGAAGGGCAAAAAGCCCCCCCAAAAAACAATACAAATACAGTGGAACCTCGAGATACGAGCATAATCCGTTCCAGGACTAAGCTCGTACCTCGAATCATAATATTATAAGAAATAACAGGAAAAAAAATTATATTTTCCGGCCCTCTAAAAAACAGGAAAAAACGTGTTTTTAATTACTATAGAGCCATAGAGTGCGTACTGTGGCAAGAAAACCAAAGCAGGCAGGGCTATGTCCATCAGAACTCAGATTTGAGCAAGCATACAGGCATTGCTGTCGTCATCTATAAGGTAAAACATTAACATACTGTGAATGGGACTAGGTAAGATTAAAAAAAAGAAAAGAAAAATAGCAGCCAATAGTGTACCTCTTACATAATTATTTTCTTCATTCACTCGTATCTCTTTCTGATTTCCAGGTTTTGGCTACACTCTTTTTTGTGCTTGTGGCCTTGATTTACAAGCCTCCAACCGAATCGCCCTAAATCCCGACTGCTCCAGAAGAGGATGACAAATCTGATCTGCCTCTTAAGGACCTCAATGGAGTCATCATTGTCAACCAAATTTCCAGATTGTGACGTCCAACATTTCTATACCACTGAATTCAAATGTTATACTTTGCGTCTTGTGTGTTGGTCTTATCTCATTCTCCTATGCACACATTCAGATTTCTCAGTTAAACACATACACATTTATCAACAATAATGGAGCAAACATGCAGATTTTTGCCTTTGTCCACATGTATCGAGCTAACGCAACAGCAAGGTGATTATGCTGGGGCATAATTTGAGGTTTTTTGTAGGTATTTGACGTAGTGTGCTTTGACTAAACAGGAAAGTGGTGGCTTGGATCATTTAATACATAGCTGTTTCACATACGTATTGCATTTGTGGTGTTGTTAGCACAAATCCAGATCAGTGACCACAAAATGTGACATTTCTTGGATGGTACATCAATCTTTCTCTCCATTTCAAATTCTTTTTCATTCTAAATGTCCTTAACAGTTTTAATTTAAAAATAAAGAAAGATTTTCCATCTTATTAAACAAATGGCTTTTTGTAGTGTTTTTTTATAGGTCTTTTAGGTGATCCCACAGCTCTGACTTTAATGACAATGGACACAAGTCTAATGCTTAAATGTGAAGGCAGAAATTACCAACGGACCGAATCAGGCGGGCAGTTTTGGAGGAAAGAAAAAAGACGTTTCACCTCTCATCCAAGAGGCTTCTTCAGTTCCGTGAAACGTCTTCAAGAAACCTACTCTGCCCAGTTGCCCTCGATGTGACTATTTTTGGATAAGATGACCTGGATGACTGAGAACCTAAACAGACGGCCCGCAAAGTTGTACACGCTAGATATCCATTTGCATGTATGTAGTTTAATTACACCAAAAACACAAGTATATATATAACAATAGTTGAGATAAGTATACTGCTAGTGCATTGGTCTTGTAGGAGATACATCAATGTCCACATTTATCAGCATTTATAAAAACATTTATTTACAAAGAAAGTCTCCATGGTTACCGGCGCTTCAACAAATTATCGAGTTGTGATGATTGTTTTCTGGGCAGCTCTATGAGTCTTTATCTCCGTCAGACTGTTGTCTCCTTGTGGCAGAACCAGAGACCCTCACCTCAGGCCGAGAGATCTGTCTCACCCTCCGCCGACTCAGGCGCAGTGGTGTCACCTCTAAATGTTGCCCAGCAACCTCCCTCACATTCCCATCCTGACTGTGGGACTGTGGGAGTGTCTGGAGCGGCTCATGTTCAGAAAGTTTAGTAGGTTTGTGCGCTTGAAGGTCAGAGGACATAGGAAGACCAGGGATTTGGGGTATGTGTCTTTTTGTGTGGGAAATATTGTGTGTCCTTCGCTCCGTCTGCTCCATGTGGATCACCGTGCGCGTCGTTGCCGCCTCTCTCTGTGTTTGTGCAGACTCGGGATTGGTGTGGCATTTTTTACGGCCTGCCTGGAGATTTATGTTTTGTGTTTGTCTTTGCTCCAGCTCCTGATCCTCAGGCCTCTGGGCACCACCGCCAAGTCCTTGAAGCATTCTTTTAAGCTTCCGGTTGTAGCTCTTGTAGTAAAAAAGTTCTTTCTCGAGATGCTGCAGTCGATTTGGTATTGGTGGCTGCTGCTGCCCACAGCTGTCCTCTAAACACACACAAGAATACACAAGCACAGATGGCAAAAAGTAAGTAATCTGAATATTTGGAAAAAATATTCTCACTTAACATCTATAGTTACATTTACAGTTAACAATCAAGCTACAAAGAGGGAATCTTGTAAGACCACTAGTAAGGAAGCTGGGTCTTCCAAAGGGCGAGAGTACAGAAGCTGACAGAGGAGGGCATGGTATGGGGGGTCCGGGAAAGTGATAGGACAGGAGGTTCTCCCTGAAGAGTTGGGTCTTTAAGAGCTTCTTGAAGTTTCTCTGGTAGTGATTGAGAGTTGGGTCTTTAAGAGCTTCTTGAAGAGAGGAACACTCATGTTCTGGTAGTGATTGGTAGGTCATTCCACCAATATCCTGGATTGTCTCGTGTGAAGTGCCGAAACTGCCAGACGATATATATCCTCTCACTCAAATGGTTTCAAAGTAGGCCAAAGGTTAGCTATATGTTTATCTAAATACCAAATTAAGGCCTTAACTGAAGTTATTTAGCATATTTAAAAAGAGAAGAGGCCAACATTTGCACAAGATTAAAATGTCCATAAAGCAAATTTGTAACATACTTCAAACAATTTGTCTTGATTGTCCTCAGGGGTATGACTTGCCTGTGTAACCCTCCTTGTTTCTACTACTGTATGTATCTATGTATGTGTACTGTTATCCGAGCAAACAGCCATTCCAAACAGCCATTCCTACCTTGAAGTTTCACAGACAGTCTCTCAATGTTTCCCTGGTAGTCCTTGCACTGTTTGGTGAACCTGCGATCAGCCTCTAGAGCCAAACGCTGCATGGCAGCCTCCATGTCCCCCAGAGCTGCTTCCAGCTCAGCAACATGAAGCTCCAGCTCCTCACAGTGCAAACGCAGATGGCGCTCGTTCTCACGAAGACAAACGACCTGCAGGGGATCAATTGTTCTGTTTATCCAGTGACACAATACCTACCATTGTATTTGTTATTATTAATATTAACTCCCAATTTTATGTTTTTAGTGTCAGAGTGTCAGAATAAGTGACTTATTGTTCAATATATTTACCATATTTACTAAATAATACAGATATGATATGCGGATGTGATATTCAAACATATCAGCCATCATCTGTTGCCAAGGTGAATGAAATCTGCCATAAGGCCTTCAGAATCAGTAGTGCACGTAGCCACAGCCTTAAAGTAACGGCACATAATGGATTTCCTCCCATAATGTTCTAAAACGAATCACATTTTGAGTTGGCAAGACCAAGGCCTTCAAGCAGGTGTACAGTTATTTTGGTGTTTTGAGGGATTTATTGGATGATCATAGAACGCACAGTCTCCCATCTAGCCACCTGCATCGAGCGACTTGCACCTGCAAAAATGCATTCTGTATTTTTGAATATTGACAATTGATTATATCATTGTTGATACTGTTTAACATACACTATGTCACAGCTGTGGCAGAATTGTGCTTTGTGGGTTTGGTGCTTTAGTAATGGTGTTATTAAGGCTACATGAGTTAGGTAGGATTGAATGACTTCTTTCTTACATTTCTGCATAATATGGATTATTAAGATGTGGACTTGTTTAATCAGGGCGTCACTGAAGGACTAGGTAAAAAAACTATATGGTATGCCAATGTAACTCCATCCATTCAACTCACAGTGTTCGATCACCCTAGTCCCTTATTAAGTATGTTTTTGGGCTTTGGGAGGAAGTCGGAGAATCAAGATGAACCCACACACAGACAAACTCCTTGGAGGAACTAGGCACTTCCCTACTGCTAATACTTGCTTCTGCCATTTTTGTGTTTGTTGATATTCTGGTAAACTGAATGGTTTTAAACTGTTCCTGAAAACAACTGAATGGGCTTCAAGGGATGCTGATGAGGGATGCTGCAGAAAAATGTTGTGAATCACTATTAAAGTTGACCTCACCTTAACGCTTTACCTTGACTTATCTTATTTTTAGACTTTTAGTCTCTTCAAATTCCCATTAAAAAAAAAAGACTTTACATCTCATGTGTGCTTGTTTCTCATACCTTGTTGAAATATTTGATGAGCATCTCTGAAGCCTCGGGCTGCGAGAGCTCCTTCAGCTTGCTGATGACGTCACAGACTCGGGCAGGATCGGTGATGAGCAGCTTCCTCTGTTTGTCCTTGATGAAGTTGTTTTTAAACTCTAGAGCACCATCTAGAGCCTCAATGGCTTCCTCCAGCTGGAGCAGGTTGTACTCCTCCTGTGTGAGAATACACAGAGGCTAGGCTTTATTTTACTGGACTCAAACTGGAATCTTTTCAACCTAAATAATGTATTGTTTTCTTCTTTCTGACCCCTGCGCTCAGAACTCTGTTCTCCTTCAGCTGAGCGTGCAGAGCCGCTGTCCTCTTTTGAAGCACGTCTCTTTCTTTCTCCAGCTCCTCTGTGGTGATTCCACCGTCTCCATTGCTGTGCAGATGCTCCTCCACAGACTTCAGCTGCATCGACACACACAGCAGGTCCTGACTCAGAGCCTGAAAAGTGAAACCATTTGTTTGTTTGTTTCTTTTTAAGTGCAGCTATAATAAAAGCTATAATAAACAATAAGCACAGAGTAATCTTCAGCAACAATGGATGCTGACCTGACTGGAGCGAAGCATCTTCCTCTCCAACTTGTTCCTCTCCTGCAGACAGGCCTCTCTACGCCGTACCACCTCGTCTCTGCTCCTCAACTCCTGCTGCAGCTCCTGCAGCTCCTCTCTCTTCTGCAACACCTGTTCCTCCTGCTGCTCCAGCCAACTACTTTCAAACACCTGCAGTTAGAGGTAGAAATGGAGAACATATACTGTATATATAATAAATACTAACAAATTGAAACATCTGAGATGACGTGGGAGCTTTTTCTCTTTCCTCTGCCTTAAGCTACCTTTGAGCTATGCTACATAACTTCAGTTGCTAAGGCCTTAATTTGGTGTTGTATAGATATGTTTAGATAAACATATAGCTAACATTATATTATTAACACTAATTTGAAACCATTTGAGTGAGAGGATATATCGTTTGTTCTTTCGAGTTTGTGTTACGTCAAATTAATCATTTCAATTTATTAATCATAAACAATGCTATTACGAACTAAAAGAAAGGTCTCTTCCTTAGGCTGGTTCTCAAGTCCTACAGTGAAATTCATACATGTCTGAAAGACCTTGATTATTTTTTTATAGCTCTGATACCAGGGATGGTGGCAGGAGAGATCATCAGGTGGAAAATCTAAAATTTACACATAAATGGTCTGAAAACTATTATTTATTTACTGCAAATAGTGTGACAGTGACAGGCAGAGTAACTAATTACTTTTCCACTAGGTGGCAGCAAATGTCTATTAAAACTAAAAAAAACTGAGCTAGAAGCTCAGAGCTGTTGAAGTTATCTTTCCTCAATGCCTGTAGTCATATCAGCCTTGTGTTCAACTAAACAGGCCCAGGTTGCACATTTAGGAAGTAAATTGATAACTAGGAAATCATTATATTTCATTACATGTATTTTTTGTGACATGTCTGTTTGAGGATTTTGTGCCAATGCTCAAAAATACAGTTTTAGTATGAAACATATTTTTTCATATGAAAAATATGGAAAGTACAGGTTTTTCTTTTTTCTTTTTTTAGCTCACCTTACTTTGGCCAACATCTTCAGTGCAAGGCATCTGTTCCTGCTGCATGAAGTTGTTTTGAAGCTGGTCTCTCTCCAGCCTCATCTGCTGAAGGCTCAGATACACATCTTTTCTTGTCTGCTGGTTTTGTAAGGAAAGCTCTCCCAGTATTCCAGGTTCTCTGTTATCTCCACCGTGCATGACGTGTCCGTTCACTGCCTGGATCATCGTCTCTGTCAGATGAATTACTCTACGTCAGTCCTCAAACAAACACTCTGGCTGGTTATACCTCAGTAATTTAAGAAAAAAAAAAAACTACCAGTTTTGTCCAGCTCTACCAGGAGCTCCTCCTTCATGCGTATGTTTACAGACAGGTCTTGGATTTTCCTTTGTGTAACGCTGGGTCGTGTTCTGATGTGATGGTCCTTAGTCCCTGTACAGAAACAATAACAGGACATCTCAGAGGAGGACCAAACAGAAAAGCATGCCTTCAATTTTTCTAAAAGATTTAACCTCTACCTTTGTTTCCTGGAAGTTGCATTACTCTATTTCCATTCTTTTGCTGAATTTGCCACGTTTGGTTTAGAAAACCCCTAAAATGACAAAATCAAATTTATAGTCAGTTCATTATATAATTATTCACAACAAAGTGGCCTGTGTGGAAATAATAACGGCACGAGTTAAAAGGCAGTTTTGACATGACCTTTAGTCAAAAAGAGAAACCGACTAGTAAGAAAAAAACCTAAACTCACGTAAAGGTGTGGCTAACACAATGCCCTTCCCCTTCATTCAGTTGACTCCTGTCTTGTTGTCTCACAAAATCACAAAACATCTCGTTCTTTTCATTGCTTTCTGGCAGTAGACACCTTCGATTTATCCTCAGGGCTGGCAGCGCTCTGTCCAGAGCTGCAGGACAGGAGGGAATCTGCAAATGCACAGACTGTTGTTAGCATTGTTCCTGAGAACACACGCAAATGAATCTGCTGCATATTGCTGCTGCAGGAGAAAACAAATCTTTCAAAATTCTGGGTTTTACTGTGAGTAAACCCGTACCTTTCTGGGTGGCTGCTCTTCATAGCTGCGTCTGGTCAGAGGGTCGCTGTGTGGCCTCTTGTCTGACTTCCCAGAAACCACTGCTTCCTCCACCATCTCAGCAGCTGCACTCTGTAATCTTACGATGCCTCTGCGAAGGTGATCGTTTACAATCTGTCGGCCGAGTAGTTGTTCAATCAATATTTTTTGTGAAAGAAATCAGAGACAATTTAAACCTTAAAATTAACTGACAGAGATGACATTAATATTTAGCATCAAATAGTAAGTTTTAGTATTTTCAATTCGACCTGCTCTCTATACCTGTATATGATTATGTTCCTTTTCTTTATCAGAGCCTTTGAGGTCGAATGTGTTTTTTTGCAGACTTTTCTCGGCTTCCGTCTGCACCTGTCGTAGTTCTTCATTCTTCTGCTCCAGCAGCTGCTCCTGTAGGTTCAGTGCTTCCTAAGAGCGAAAGAATGCAAATCTGTTGAATATTCATTTTCAGTGGTACAGGAGTAGAAGATACTGGTACACAAAGCTACAGTGCCCTCTAGTGGGTGGCAGTGTGAAAATATCAAAAATGTGAAATTGTAGATTTCAATATATAAGTCGCACCTGAGTATAATTCGCAAACCCAGCTAAAGGATGAAAAAAAGGTGCAACTTATAGTCCGGAAATTGGTAATACAATTATTGGACAGAGGATGGAAGAGTAGAGAGACTCCAGAGTAGAATAGGATAGAATAGAATAGAATAGAATAGAATAGAATAGAATAGAATAGAATAGAATAGAATAGCCTTTATTGCCATTGTAACACGGAGGTAGAACAAAACTGAAGAAAGAGAAGCCAAAAGAAGAAGAAGAATCAGTGGTGAAGTTCTCTCTCACATTTTATTAATTCTGTTCATACCTGACATCTGTTCAGCTCTTCTCTCAGCTTAAGCACCATCTCGTGGTCATGTTGGTCTCCACCCCCATCTGAATCGTCATCGTTATCGATCAGATGTGCATTATTAATGATTGCCAGTCTATCCTGCCAGTCATGCAGCCGGTCCCTGAAAGACTCGCTCGGGGACGTGTCAGAGAGTTCTAGGAGTAGAGCTTCAGCCTCTTGAGCCAAGAGTCGGTACTGTCTAAAGCGCTCCCCTTCTGAACCCCTCCCCCCTGATCTCTCTCTTACCATCTCCTTCTCCTTCAGTAGCTCTCTAAGAGTCTGCACTTCGAACTCGAGCTCCGCGAGGCGAGCAACGATACATGATTTGACCTCTGTGCACGTGGCTTTGGGGCTGTTGCGAATGTGTCGGGCCTTGGACGCAAAGTGCAGAGCTCCCAGGGTTTCATCGGCACTGTGGTGAGAAGGACTGACACAAACCACCATCAGGGTGTGAGAAGTTCCTCCTAGAGCGTCACGGAGGAGGCGTGTGATTTTGGCGTCACGGTAGGGTATGTGTATGCTGTGTCCTGCCCGTGCAGGATTGGACAAAGCGCTGATGACTTTGCTGAGAGCCAGCAGGCCTGTGTTGATATGAACCGACTCTTTCAGCCTCACACCGGTGTTGCCCGTTTTTCCAGCGCGCTCTGACCCGGCCAGATCAATAAGGCGAAGTTTAGAGGTTCGTACAGACTTAACGGAGGAGTTGTCATTGTGGCAGCACTGTGCAACCCTGAGGGTGATGATGGTATGAGAGCGACTGGAGCGCTCATTCATTCCCGTGATGGCGATTTGCCGCAGTGTTCTGCCTGTCTGTAGAACACTGAGAAGCTCTTCGGCTGAATTGATGACGATTTCTTTGGCTCCCATCACCACTGGAAACACACACAACCACACAACAGTTGGTGTGTTAAGTCAGCTCTTCTCCGGATATCAGGCCCTAGAACCTACATTATCCAACTCTTTCAGTGGCGACTAAAGATTTTTAAGCATTCATTTTACAAACACGGCCTAGACAATCATTGATGTACTATGACTAAATCATTATGAAACAAAAATTATGAGTAAGAAAAGGAAACAGAAAAAAGGTCTCACCGGTGTTTCCTTTTTCGTCCTCTCTTATGTGAAACACTTTGTGTACACCGGGTTGCTCCAACAGGTCACGCAGCTCCTCTCTGTACAGCTCCATGTATGTGACCCACACCGTGGTCTCCATACTGTCATTATTGTTCTTTTTCTCTTCCAACAGTGAGAACACATCTTGGGCCACGCGGTCTATGATTCCCCCCTCTTCATCTGACAGAGGGTTTTAAAGGAAAGATCTCAGAAAAATCTCTTCTATGTTCAGTGGGAGCAACATATAAGCTGCACCAAACAAAAACGATGTATGTATGTATAACCACACACTTATATAAAATTATATATACATTGATTAATGTATGTGTATAGTGTGTATATAAATATACATGGCTTTGTGTATGTATAAATATATATAAATACATAACAAATATATACATATATAAATACACACACATATGTGTGTGTATTTATATTTGTTTCTATATATTTTCCACATATATTATACATATATATAAATATATATAATGGTGAGCAGCAGGCTGCTTTATATATACTACATATATATATATACATTTATTTTTTATATATATGTGTGCATATATAAATATACATGGCTTTGTGTATGTATAAATATATATGTATATAAATACACACACATATGCGTGTATATATATTTATTTCTATATATATTATATATTTTCCACATATATTATTTATATATAGTAATGAATGAATGTTCTAATCAAATCATATGTGATCCATAGCCTATAAGATGTACTATAAAAACATAAAAACAAAAAATAGCCTATAAGATGTACTATAAAAACATTTAAAACAAAAAGCTTTTTCTTTTCTTTAAAAAAATGTAAATTTTTCAATTTTTTTTTTAATATATTAACTGACATTCCCTACCCAGATGGCCTCCTTCCATCGTGTATGTTTTTCCTGATCCAGTTTGTCCGTAGCAGAATATGGTGGCATTGTAGCCGGTGATCAGGTGTTCCACCAGCGGCTGGACACATGACTTGTAGACCTCGTCCTGGTTGGCTGTCGGTCCAAACGTGTGGTCGAAGGAAAAGAGTCTTTCTGAGCCAAACAACACTTGTGTGGAGCTTGGCACCAATCTCACACACTTCTGGTGTCTGTGGAGTTTTTCTTTTGGAAGCAGAGGCCGGATTCGGACCGCCACCCGCACAAAAACTTCACTCATTTTGACAAAGAAACAAAACAAAAAAAACCTAACATGGATTAATGCTGTAGTAGCATAGACGTGGAAGTTCTGTCACATTTCAGCAGCCCTCAGTTGCTCCACAGTCAAACTTATAACAGGACGGTGTTATTGTTGTAGTTTGTTGAACTTTGCGGTGTTGGGAATTCATTGTATTCTTTGTTATGTTGCATTACTGCTTCCCTGCCTTTGTCACGGCAGTTTGAATGCATTAGGTTACATTACTACCATTGTCTGCATTTTTCAGTCTGTTTTGTTCTGGTTTAAAATAGAATGTAAAGTTCAAAGGTTTTAAAGGATTTAAAGTCCAAACCTAATGGGCACAATTTCCTCATCCAGATTTTATAAAAGGATGAATTCCTTCTCAATTAACTGTATTACAATGGAAATAATTGTTTGTTGTCTCGTGAAGTGGAAGTGAGGCAACAAGACTGTGTTTTTATATGTATTTTTTTTTTCTTCTTACAACACACAGACTGGCCCACGGGGATCAGATGCAATTTTGTTGTTACTGGTGATGTCATATCTAGCCATCGCTAATCTTGCTGTTCATATTGCCATAGTTAATGCAAATAATGTCTTTACTGTGCTTATTTCCAATGTTTCCATTGGAAATAAGCACATGCTATGTTAGAGCACATACATTTTGGTTTTGTTGTTGTTGGTCTGTGAAAAAAAGATTTACATTAAAAAGGAATATACATAATAAGAAACAAATGCCACTGATGTGTGTTATTTTAAATTTAATTTATCATGTGTGTATAATATTAAGCTTTGGTTGTTCCAGATTCAATATTTACGCAAAACTAAAGTTGTTTCCATGTGAAAATTTTCTGGAGAGAAGGAAAAAATGCACAACTGCCGTCAATTTTACAATAAATATTAGGTTTGGCTTCGTCCAAGTTTTTAATTTTTGTCCAATGTTTCCATTGGAAATAAGCACATCATGTGTGGTCCAAGTTTTTAATTTTTGTCCACTGTGAGTTTGAGTTTGACACCCCTGATTTAGAGGGTCTAAACATGCAAACCAGTAATGTTCTTGCCATGAAGACAGGCGATCGATCAACATTTGCCACCGTATGGTCCTGATGACAACAGTAAGACAAAATAGAGAAACTAGCATTGCTGCGCTGTATTAAGAACTAGTGTCAAAACGGCAAAAGATCCTTTTGACAATAAATGTGTACACTGTATACATGTACACTCACACTGATAAATCCCCCATTGTTGGAAGGGGCCCGGTGCACATACTGTAGAAAAGGCTCTACTTTGTTCCAGAGGAAGAGCAACAGGGGGCCCCGCTCTTCACCTCTTCCTTCCGGTTTGCTGTTGAGCTCTGCGGTGATCAAGGGCTTTTACTTTTCACCATTAAAATCTCTTCCTGCTCATGCACGAGACTGGTGCACCTACTCCAACAGGTCACTCTTCGCTTCCTTGTTATTCAGTGCGTGCCTACTTTTGTTGTTGCACCAAACTAAAGTGAAGTCTTTGGAATTGAGTCTTAGTGTCCGCCTGTTCGTTCCGTTTTTCTCTTCATATCAGAAGTTTTTCTTCTATATTTCAAAAACATAGTTTCCTCTAAAAGTTGCACTTTT